AGGGCATGCAGCTGGGAGCAAGGCAGACAGGTGGGGCCAGGGAGATGCTGGATCTTGTGGTGGTGACAGCATGGGGCTAGATCTGAGGCAGAGCTGCTGTCTGCAGGTGCCTCTGCCCTGGCTCTGACCCCACACTGTCATGACCACAAAATCCCCGCTCTCGCATGCCCAGCTGCACGCCCTTCCCCAGCTGCTCCTCACCGGTCTCCGTGGAGATTGCAGGAGCCCAGGGCCCTGTCAGTGCATGGCCATGGCCAGGGCAGAGTGTGACAGCACTCTGCTGCTCCCAGGGTCTCTGTGGAGACACCCAGGGGCCGCATGGACAGGGGCTACTGAGAAATGGAGTCCGGCCACCGGCCAGATGTGCTGTTTTGCCCACGCCTTACGTAACTCCTCAGTTATCTGTCTTGGACAACTGAAGTTAAAATAAGCTTAACATAGTATATGTCTTTGGTATGTTTGATTTTAACTATAATGTAGTGTACAGTATGTTGGAAATCATACATACTAGAGGACCATGGTGCAACCACAATATGTGTTTATCTGCAGCTAGATAGCTCATCAATCAGACTTACAATATTAAACAGTCTTTTTACATCTGGGCTACCAATGGAATTTGGTGTGCCCAAATGTATTGCTGGTTGTTAATTATTTAATGGTGGACTTGAGTACATGAATGATTTGTCATGATCTCATCAATTGCTACTCTTAGGGCCCCCCTACATGTGCAGGTAAAGGCATGATGGAATCTAATATACACTCCACACAGTTGCACTTCCTGCCATGCCACACATGCATGGCAGGAGGCATGACTGTGGGTTGGCTCATTAGATCCCATTGTGCCTTATTGCTGGTACAGGGGGAGCCTAATCCTGGGTTCCCCCTGCAATGGCAAGAAGCAAGCTCCTGCAGCTGGGAGCCCCCTCAGATGAGGGGGCTGCCACAATCTCCCAGCCTCAGAGGTGTGTGAAATGGGGGTGCATCTCCTGTTTGCTTTCTGCATCTCCTGTTTGCTTCATGCCCCCCTGAGCCTGGGAGATTGCAGCAGCTTTAGTCTCCCATCTGTGGGGGTTTCATGCAGTCCCAAGGCTGAGGTCATGGCATCTGTGATCTCCCAGCCACAGGGGTTTCACACACCCCTGGGGCAGGGAGATCGTGGCAGCTGCACCTCCCAGCTCCGGGGATTCTGCGCACCACTGGGGCTTGGGAGATTGTAGCTGCCCCCTCCTGGCTGCAGGGACCTAGCTGGGTCTTGGCACCAGGAAGTACACTACCAGAACCCAGTGTCAGCAGCTCTGGGACTCTGGGTCCTGGCAGCTGTGGGGTGCTGCCAGGACCCATAGTTGGCAGCTGCTGGGGCTGAGAGTCCCCTCAGTTGCAGGACTTCCAGGCCTGGCTGGGCATGGTGCACCTCTGCAGCTGGGAGCCCTGGGAGCTGAAGGGTCTCCCAGCTGCAGGGGAGACCCTGTTACACATGCAAATTAAAGTTTGATAGCAACCAGTTTGAAAATTAGTTCACATTTTTTAGGTCTAACTTTATAGTTTGTTGGAGCTTTTAATGGTGACAGTTACTTTGCACATGTAGGTGGTTTCAAGGTAATTGCACAGTTAACCAGTTAATTGCATGATACCTGTGACATGTAGCCTTACTAGCAATCTCAACCCCAACTCCAAAGATGGAATGGCTGTAGAGACTAAATGACTCTGTTACCCATCAATGAATGGTCATTTCGGGCCAGAACTGATTGCTGGGCATGATATCAGAGCGTTGTGATGTAGTGTACATTTTCTGCTAATTTTTCTGTTGATAAATACAATCATAGAACATTAGGTTTGGAAGGAACCTTATGAGGTCATCTAGTCTGGCCCCTTGCTCAGGGCAGGATTCTTTGTGACTAAACTATCCTAGTCAAGTGTCCATCTAACCCGTTGTTGAAAATTTCCAGGGATAGCAATTCCACAACTTAGTTCCAATGCGCAACCACCCTCTTAATCAGAAAATTCTCAAATTTACTCTGCTGCAATTTAAGACTGTTGCTCTTAGTTCTGTCCCATACAGCAAGAAAGAAACGTCTCTATCTCCATCCTCTTTATAATCACCCTTCAGGTATTTGAAGACTGTTATCAAATCCCCCCTCAGTCTTCTCTTCTCCAGACTAAATAACCTTAATTCTTTTAGCCTTTCCTCATAAATCATTTTTTCCAGGTCTCTAATAATTTTTTATTGCTCTTCTTGAAGTGAAGGGCCCAAAACTAGATACAGTACTTTAGATGAGGCTTTAGCAGTGCTAAACAGAGCAGAAGACTTGCATACCTTGATTTACAAGTCACTCCTGTTAATGCAACCCATTATCCTGTTGGCTTTTTTTCAGCAAGAGCCTACTGTTGGCTCATTCAGCTTACTGTAACCCCTAGGTCTTTCTCTGCAGTTCTGCAGCCTAGCTACTCATTCCCCAGTCTCTATTTGCACGTGCAGTTATTCAAAACCAAATACAGGACTTTAAACTTATTTGTGTTGAATTTTATCTGATGATTTCAGACCATATCTTCAGTTCATCATCATTCTGGTCTTAGCCTTTCAGAGGGTCTGCAGATTTACAGTGTCACCTGTAAATTTGCTAAGTAGGCATGCACTCAATCCCATTGTCCAAATCATTAATGAAGATGTTAAATGATATCTGACCCAGATCAAACCACTGGGGAACTGCACTTTTTACCTTCTCCCAGGTCAGGGTGACTGACTTTGGTGAATCCATGCTGGCTGTTCCTGATCACCTTGTTCTCCTCTAGATGCTTCAGTATTCCTTGAGGATCTGCTCCATGATATTTTGGATCTCAGTGTCATACTTACTGGTTTGTAATTCCCCAGATCCCCCTCCTTTTTCTTAAAGATGGGCACTATATTTGCACTTTTCCACTTACCTGGGTCCTCATTTAATTTAAACTTTCTCACAGTCAATAGCTAATGGCTATCCATATACAGCTTCCCACAAACAGGAAAAGTCAAGCTGATACTTTATAATAAGTGCTCATATGAGTAATAATAACTCATTTAAAAGTTTTTTAATGTGATGCTTAAATTTAAGATTTAGGATTATTATAAAATATATACTTTTTCATTGGGGCAGGAGCTGGGGTGGGGGTGCTACCCAGCCAGGGTGGTGAATGGGACCCGGGGTCGGGGCAGGGTGTAGGATGGAGTTGTGGACTCCTTGTTCAGGGGGTATGGGGTGGGGTGGGGATGGATCCCTGACACTGCATGTGCCCCCTGGGCAAGGCATGGGGAGCATGTGGCCCTCCCAGATTTCTTCGCGGGGTGGATGCAAGCTGCTTGCTGTGGGCTCAGGGCTCTCCACTCTGCTGCTTTGTCCCAGGGGCTCTGGGTTGGCCACACACCCCTGCGCACCCAGCAGCAGTGGCAGTGGTGAGTTGTGCCTTCTGATGCCAGCTCAGCAGGTGGCACATGGCTGATGCAGAGCCCACGGGGCAAAGACAGCAGGGCAGAGAGCCTCAAGCCCACAGCAAGCAGCCCGCATCCGCCCTCACCCTGCTCAGCTCCACTCTGGTTAAAAGCATCCCTGCACTTAAAAATGGTGGTGGCAGCACTTGAACTAAAGGTTTTGACAAGCTGTAGTTCAAGCACCCCTGCTGCTATTTTTAAGCTCCGGGATGCTGATCCCCTGGAAAAGCTGCCCATGGCTCCGTCCCACACCCTGCCCCAGCTCCCATTCACCACCCTGACTGGGCAGTGCCCCCAACCCCAGCCCCTGCCCCACTCCCTCTCTTACTGTGGGGGGCCTCAATCTGCCCCCTGCACACCCCATGCCCTCTTCAGACTTACCTGCAGGGCGCTGCTCTCCATGCTGCCTGGCTGCATTCCTGTAAATCAGTTATCGGATCAGTATCAGCCAATATGGCTGGTTAGCAATTAGCTATTGGTATCGGCCAAAAGTATAGTTATTGGTGCACCCCTACTTTTTCAGTGTGTGTTGTGTTTTTTTGCCAAGCATGAGTGCATGATTTTCATAGTTTTACTTGGTACATTTCCCATTTTGTTTATAAATTACTATAAACCACTACTACAGTTATGTGGTTGAGATGTAGCTTAGAAAGAACTCAGCAGACATATTTTTGTGGATTTTTTTTACCTTGGTTTATTTTGCTCCAGTACTTAGTCACAGATATAAAGATGTGGTTGCTTTATTTCCACAATCTCTAGCGTGCTGGGGAACTAGAGGCCTGAGGTTACTTCTGAACCCAGGTCATCTCTAGCTTTGCTGCCATCAAAGAAGGCCATGTTACAGTCCCAAAGGATACAAATCTAATTGCAGAAAAACATAGCGTGCAATAAATTTCACTGACTGACTTTTGTTTCTTGTTTGATGAGCACTAAAACATTAGATTATTGCTTTGCTTTTGTTTAACTGGCTTCAATAGATTTTTATTCTATGAGTATAAAAACATAATATTTACATGCTAAAACAAATATTGACATCAGAAAATGTTTTGTTATAAAATTACTCTAGAGGAGAGATTATCCAACAGTTACCTTAATCAAATAGCCAAAAAATTGCTGTGTGAGAAACTGTTTGGAAACATTTTTTAACAAGAGAAGGTAAAACATTAGTAATCAAGGTTGGGGAGTCGGGGGATGGTTTACTAGAACAAAAATAAGAATTAACTTGAGACAAGGTGATACGCAATATAATCATAGTAAGGTCACGTGTAGCCTATGCCGGTTAGGTTGCCTGCAGCATTTGCACAGACTTGGCACCACTGCTTGCAGTGGTGACGCATACTGAGCCACACAGCACATTTGAGGGGGCCTCTGCCAGGCATAGTAAGTCTGAGCCATCGATGCGGCTTAAAAGCACAAGGAAGAGACATACATCACAAAAGAAAAACACGGTACAACACAAAAAGTTGTTAAAATAGGATAAATTGTGACATGGTTCTGAATAGTAATGAATTCAAAATGTTTTTTTGTTCGTTTCTTTTAGGCAGAAACTAATTCTCCACAATGAAAATGTCCCAGTTATCCTGAATACGTATTTTAGTCAGAAAGTGTTCTTCAGAGAACACACAGAAATAAAGGATAAGATGCATTGTCCAGAGCAGTTGCTTATTAGAAGAAATATTGTATCTTTGGCACAAATATTCACACTAAATGATCCCAGAGACAGTGCGCCCCAGCAATCTGCAGTTAATCAGGTAAGGTTCATCTTGTTTGTAGTTTATCACTTTGTAACAAATCAGTTGAACAGATGTTTGGAAATCATAACAAAAACAGAAATCCTGAAATACTGATACTCTCTTCCCTTTTTATTTAGCCAAAGCTGAATAATATGTGCTAGTTGTTTTAATAATATTTTATATGTGGAGGCTTTTGGTCAGTCCAAATCCTGAACTGCTGTGAGATTTGTTTTGCTATAGTTTTACTACCATGCAGAATAACAGTGCTGATATCACATCTTTGTTTTTCACTGATTCCCTTACTCTGTGAATCTCAGTACCCCAGTAACCTTTTTAAAACTATACATAAACATTGTATTTCTATGCTTCCATATTTGAGTGTTTTCTCTTCTTATTGAGTCCTTTCTTTAAAATACCAGTTATTGGCTTTATGGAAATAGTCATGATTTTAAAACCTATATGCACAGATGATTGAGAAGGGTGTCTCAAATTCAGGTTTTCAATTTAAAAGATACGTTTTAAAGGAATCAGGTTTTCAGATGGTGAATGCCCAGCATTATTTTAAGGACTTGAACTCCTGAAATCACTAGTTTTGTTTGAAAATTTTGACTAAAGTGTGTCGTTGTGGGTACACAAATAAATTATCATAATATAAGCCAGGGTGTGACTTTATAGCATGCCAGCTACTTTGTGGCAACTGTGCCAGCTCCTTTGTGGCTACTTTGTGGTAAGACTCAGGCAGTTAGTAGCGAATAGCTGATGCATTCTAAATGCACACCCTAGTTCAGTGAGGGCCAACCTTTTTGGCAGGCCTGCCACAAATTAGCCCTTCACGCCCACCAAGTGCTACTCTGAACCCCTTCCTCTCCTTGATCTGCTGCTCTGTTTTCTGCTTTCTGCCCTGAGGGTCCTGTCTCTGTTTTGTCTGTCCCCTCCTGGGTCTGCTGAATAGTGTTCTTTTGTACTGATTGCAAAAACTGTTGTAGCTACACTAGCATAAAAGATTTCAGTTTGAGCAAGGATTCTGTTGCTGCTTGAGTATATGAGTACTCTCTGAACTGCACTGTCTTTTCAGGGACAGATCTGGTCCTACCATAATGAAAGGGAGCTCTCTCTGAACATCAATTCCTATCAGAGCAAATGCATTCAGGCTTGCAAAGAGCTAGAAGAACTAAAAAGCAGAAAGATTAATTTTTGTGTATTATTTTTTTCTTAATTAGACACACAGATGGTATTTAAAGCAGGGGTTGCAAAGGAATGAGAAAAGATTGATGGGAACTATACTTTTGATAAAAGATACTGCTGGGGTTTTAAATGGGTATGAATGAGGTCGGGTCTGAGGCAGCAAACAGTGTGGCTTTAATGAAAAAAACTTAAGTTTCTTTCAGTTGTAGGTTAGGGTTTCCTCCTTTTCTTTCTTTTTTTCCTTTTTCTTTTTTTTTTTTAATAATCCAGTACCTTTCACACTGTGGCTCATAAATTTGAGACCTGAATTATTGCCCTGTAAAACTGCACACCCTTTTATTTGCTATGAATTTAAAAGTTGTTGAGTCTATTTTATTTTGAAGGTTTATACTACTCTTTATGGGGGGAATAAACAGAACTACCAAGAATTATGTAAAAATCCTTCATGGAGCAGGGTGATAAATACTGATGCCAGTTCTTTCTTCCTCTTAACATTACTGGCCTCATATGGATTGAGCTAATTTAATCCAGGGCAGTAATTACATAGAAGAGAATACTATGTGCTGAATTATAGGATCCCTGGTACATTAATTAAAAATCCAAGAGACTTTAGATACTTTTAATCAGTATTTATAGTAAGTGTTTTGAAAATTATCCGGGCTCTTTTATAATTAATTTTAGTTGAAGTTCATGTTGCGTTGCTATGTGGTTTAATAATCTATACAATAATTTTGTTCTATGGCTTTGTATTTACCAGATTGCTTGTGCCAACATGACTACTCCAGCTATGCAGATTCATAGCAACCCTGAATCCAAACTACAGCCATTAGTGTTCAATGTTCTACATGACTCTCTGCTTGAAGTGGTGGAAAACCAGGGAGCAGCTGGGTGGAAGGGAGTGCAGGTACGAGTGGTTATCCAAAGGGTGTATTATCTGCCTGCAAGAGAAGGTTTCAGATGTCAACCTCCAGGGAACAGTTCTGTTCTTCCAACACCCTTTTTAAGTTCAGATGGGCCAAATGTTAGGTGAGTAATACATGTAAAACGTGCATATTAACCTGGTGAGGTTTTAGCATCAGGGAGGAAACTGGGGACTGGTCTCAGTCTGTACCAGCTAAGCATATTCAGCTAAGTAGCATAATCTAACTAGAAAAAGGAGAAGGATATACTCTTTAATAGACCCAGTATAGTGTGGATTTGGTGCTAGCTAAAGGAATGACTCATGCTGCACCATAAACTACTGGTAGAAGGTTGAAAAATAAGTGATTGGAAGATAATTTAAACCAGGTGATGATTTTGTACTTCTTCCATTAATATTTGAGTTTCACTGAAGAACTACTGCCTCAGCTACCTGTCATTAACTATTTCAGTTTTCAAAGCACATGACTGCTAACTAACTATTGCTCACACAGCACTCTTTTGGAATAAAAGAAAATTGTCTCTAGAGATGAGAAGCTGAAGGCTTGTCTTAAAGAGGGATTTTACACTGATGTAGTTATAGCAATATAGCTCTACTTAATACAAACTTGTAGGGTAAATTTCTGGCCCCTTTGGAGTAAATGTCAAAACTCCCTACTATGGATGCAGTGTAGTAGAATTAAGTGACTTCTGCCAAGTCAGTTCCTTCTGGATTGCTGCCTCTACATATGCAAGACTGGCAACAATTATCAGTTCATAGCAACATTTTCAGAGTCTTCTGTTTAACCTTTTGCTTCCTGCAAATTGAATATTGTCAGTGTCTAGAGCAGTGATTCTCAAGCTTTTTTCAAGGCACCCCTGCATAACTTTTGTGAATTGAATGGCACCCAGTTTCAAAAACGTGTATATATTAGTGCTTACCTTTTTACAGAGAAGCCAGGGAGTGGGGTAGGGGATTGTCCAGACAGGGACAAGTCTGACTCTGTGCTTAGGGTACTCCTCATTGAGAATTTCTGGTCTATAGTATAGAGGAGTTGCAGTGTGATCTCACTTTTTCTGCACAAAAGCGATGATAAATACAGCTTCCTTCTGTGGCTTTTGTAATTCTTTTCTTCTTGTGGGTTGGGGATGAAAAAGAATGAACTGAATGTCGCTTAGCATCTCCGTGTTTAACATTTCCATGATTTTATTTAAATACCATTTTGGGGGGGTTTAACATCCTATCACATAGCGTGTTGGGTTGAAACTTTGTGCAGCAAGTTCAGTTGGTTTTGTGTTCCCTCAAAGTGCTTTATTTGGGTGAAGTCAGGGTTTCTGCACATGTGAGGGTTTTGGGTGTTTGTTACTTTTTGAGTCCATGTGAGGTATAGAAGCTAATGGAAGTTAGGCCTTGTATGGTTAAGTGCATTAGTTCCCTTCTGGAGCCTATGTAGGGTCATTGGCAGTTCTCCAAACCTCATCTGCTACAAGCCTGGAGATCCGTTCAGACTTAGGAAACTTGTGCACCCCTTTGTGATTTCAGGCGTAATGGAGTTTTCCCACTTGTCGTTACTCTGAGCCATTGGACAGTTTACAAAGATTTTATAGTATTTCTAGTCTTCCTATCAAGTATTAAGAGGCTTACTAATTGCTAAAGAACTAAAACTTAATTGTCAGTCACCCTACAGACATACGAGCACAGAGGTGGTCAGTCATATTAGTCATATATTCCTAGTCTGCCATGTGCACCCACGCATAGAGGCTGTCCGTACCACTTGTCATGTATGCTGTAGGTGCCAGATCCCTGTTCTAGAAATGTGATATCGCGGGGGTATTTTGGATATATATTTTTTGAGAAACATTTTAAAAACCTATTGCTTACTTAATGTAAAACAAAAACTGTTAAAGCAGTAGAAAAAATAATGGTAATTTTAAACTCAGCATATCTTCCCTATTCATAGATTCATATTCATAGATGTTAGGGTCGGAAGGGACCTCAATAGATCATCGAGTCCGACCCCCTGCATAAGCAGGAAAGAGTGCTGGGTCTAGATGACCCCAGCTAGATACTCATCTAACCTCCTCTTGAAGACCCCCAGGGTAGGGGAGAGCACCACCTACCTCTTGCACCACCATTCCTACTTGCATAACTATTTTCTACATTTATAAAGAGGATATCTGCAAAAGGGTATGATTCTTTACTGGTGAGCAAATGGATTAGATGAACATTTTTGTATCTCTCTAACTTCTATGAATCAAATGTGAGGTTCTTGGTATTTTGCAGGACACATACACACAAAAAATACCTTATAGAGTCCAATAAATTCTCTAGCATTTGTCACTCATAAATTATTCTCATGTTCCTCTTGTTATTCTGAAATCATTTACCGTTCCCTCCAGTAACTAACTGTTCTTGTACTTCTTGTGCTCAAAGAGTGTGGGGAGAGGAAGTGAAAATGTAACTTGCCATGACAATTGTTTCTTCCCAATATTTCCTGGCATGCATATTGCTTCTGTTTTCCCCTGCTAGGAAGAGAGGAGCTGGTACAAATAATATAACCCTTCTTATTTCACCCTAATTGGTTTGACTGTCTTTGAGGCTTTGACTGTCTTGTTTGGTTGTCTTTGAGGCTATCTGATTTTTTAAAAAAAAATTATCATGAGTTTTCAACTACCTGACTCATCATGGCAACTTGTATTTTGTGTTTCTGGTATCAAGAAGTGTATAATTTGGTTTTTTTCTTGTTATTATCTGCTTGTTTTGAGTGGGATGTTTGAGTTTGCTAAAAGTATAGTTGGTCAGTTTTAGTCTTTAGAGGACAGAGATCAGTATGCAGTATTTAGAGAAGCTAAAATTAAAAAAAAATTGAAGAGCTACTGAACAGTTAAACAAATCCAAGGGTTCAAAAGATTTGGGGATGGAAAGCTGGGCAGAAGAGGCTGGTACCTATTTAAAAAGAAAAGCTTAACAACTTTAAAAAGAAATAGGTGCTGGCTTCTAATCCACACTTTAAAATCTTTGTGGGTGAGTAAAGAAAATTTCCATTCGCTTCTCTTGGCATATGTCCTGACCTACTTCCCACCTGAATGTTAAAATTCTAGCCTATAAGAGCATTCTATTCTCAGTAGGTACAAAAGAAAATACATTGTACCGAAAAAAAATTGGTATGTAACCAGATTATTCTCCCTGGTTATGAGTAGTCCTTTTGTTTGTTCTTTGTCTTCTGTTTTAGAGTTACTTGTCAGGCCCTTGAGAAGCAGTGTTGGTGGTTCTGTCATGTAAACAGAAGATCATGTGAGCAAAATATCTAGGCCAGCGAAAGGTGCATGTGTACTAGAAAAAATGGAGGTGGGAGGGATTTTGCATTTTGAACAGGGTGCTCAAAACCTTACAATCATCGCAGCTGGGATTGATTATGAGTTTGCATGTTGTTTTAAGTTTCTGTATAGAGCATAATGTTATCATGCCAGGTACAAAGGATACAGTGACAAGTACAAATCCTCTGAAACTGATTCATATCAGAATCGTCTTTCATCTTTCCCTTCTTCCCTTTCCACGCTTAAGAATCTTCCTGCCTGTCTTAATGCAAGAATAGTTGATAGGTTAACTTATCTAGCAGTACCCATAAATAAAATCTAAGGGTCAAATGCTATAACGAAAATTACAAGCAGGTAAATTGATGTTTAGATAACTCATGGTATTTACCTTATGGAGAACCTCATCTTAAATTATGCAAGGCTCCTTTTACAAATTAGTGCAGGGTTTATTATTTGAAATTGGGCTGAGATGGAAGAGACACTCATTGAAGATCCATGTTCACATATGTTAGCATCTGTCAAAATATATTCTTTGTTGTCCAAAGTTACTCTGTTTACAGCATTCCATTCATTTTTTTCAACAAAACATTTCTAAATAGAGTTCTCATAAATTAAATGATTTATTTTTTTTCTAATTGCACTGAGTTTCTGGGATGCATTTTTTCAAGTGAAAGATAAACAGGAAATAGGTAATGGAGGACTCTTCAGTGCATGCTGTACATTAGAAGTTGTTCCCTGTTTTCGACATCTTAGGAGTGAAGATATATGCCTTTAATATTCTTGTGAAGTGGTCTAACTGCTGCTTGACAGGGAAAAGATAAAACTACTCCATTCAAGGACCAGTGATGCCTTTCTGCTTTCCCATCTCTTATAAAGAAAGCCTGAGCCTTGATCAATGCAACTCACAGTCCCCAGGTACTGAAAAGGAGAGTAGAGCGACAGTTTGCTTTTTGGGAACCCAGATTTGGCATCTTACTGTTAGGCTGAGAGGTTCAGCTTTTTTATGTATTTCAAATGGTTGATTCCTTGTCCATTCTCCCCAAACATAGCCCTGAAACCTGTTTCCTTGGGGCTGAATCTGAAGTTTGAGTGATCGAATTTGGACTCCTTTCAGCAGTCCTCTAGCACAATACTTTGTTAACCTTACACTAGTTTATTTTTCAGAGCTAAATATTTACATAATCTTATTCCAGTGGAAGGGAAAACAGAAGTGCTATTATTTGATAGTTTGTAAACCTTCTCTCCCCCTCACCACAAATGTTGCCACTCTTCCATTCCTGTTTCCTTCTGTAGGAATTGTATCACTTCTGTAGCGCAATAGCTGGTATAGGAGAGAAGTAGATGGTGGCCAGTGATGAGCACAAGCATTGAAGGATCCTAATTTTTTTGGAAAGGAAATGAACAGAAATTACCATCAATTATTATCTTTCCTACTTTGAGTGTGTGGACAGCAAAGTGCTGCCTGTGGCCACTAACTAGTAGGGCTGTGCAAAACGGCACTGTTCCGTTTCGCCTTGAGTTTTGACAGGTTGAGGGAACAGTGTTTCGTCTTGAATTTCATTTTGAGTCAAAACAGCTGTTCCGTTCTGTTTTGTTGAAACAGAAAGGCTGTTTTGATGCTCTTTCAAGTTTCACTGGGGATGGGGAGTCAGACCAGCTTGACTGACTTCCCATCCCCAGCACTACATTGCACTGGGGCAGGAGGCAGTCCAGCTGGGCTGCTTCCCGGGGCCCTGCGCTTGATCGCACTGGGCTGGGAAGCAGCCCCCGGTGCGATCAAGCAGATGGGGGTGCCAGATCTTGAGCTGGGG